GTCTTGGCAAACAAGCCTGATGTAATGCTTTGATAAGATAATAAGGTATAAAAGATAACGGTGCCAAGGTAAGACATTTATAAGGTGTTTCATGCAGTACTGCACCATATTCCAACTAAAAAAGTAGCAAAATATGACAAAAACAAATGTTAAAAGTATTAATAACTGGTTATTTGTAAAAATCCCCCAAATCATCACTGGGTGCCTCCAGTGAGGTTCTACAGGGATCAGTGCAAATCCAATGTTTTCATCAGTGATCTGAAATAAAAAAACTGCTGGTAAAATTCAAAAAATGGGCAGAGTACTTCATAGTGTGGACAGCAGTGGTGGAGAATCAGTTTGATAACCTAGGGCTGATTATCATAAAAACAAAACGTGTTTTAATATGGCCAAATGCAAATGCACTAGGAATAAGGCAGGCCACAGGACCAGAATGGGGGCTGTACTGTCCAAAAGAGAAACTTCTAAAAGGGCCTAGAAGTCACAGTGGATTAGCCGCTTAGTATGATGTCCTAATATGATACTTTGGCAAAATGGTTTAATAGGATCCTTGGGTATATAAACAGGGGAGTAAAAAGTAGGTAGATCTTTTTTACCATTGTACACAGCACAGGTAAGAGCAATATTGGAATACAGTGCCTAGTTCTGTGTCCACATTTTAAAGTGTGTGGAAAATTTGACAGGGTGCAGAAAAGAGCCAAAAAATATTTAAGGGCCGGAGAAAAAAAACACCTTACAGTGAGAAACCTAAGGAGTTCACTCTGTTCATCTTATGATATTAAGACTGAAAGGTGACTGTTTACAGTGCTTAAGTACGTTCATGGAGAGAAAATACCAGGTACTCAAGTACTCATATCTAGTGGAAAACAACATGACTGAAACCACCTATTGGAAGTGAAAACCAGGCAAATTCAAGTTAGAAATAAAGTACAAATATTAATACTAATGAATGTTATTAAACCTTTGCAACAAAATTATTAAAGAAAGTGGTGGATTCTTTATCTCTTAAGTTCTCTAAATCAAGACTGGATGGGCTACATGACCCTCAAAGAAAATGATTTCTTCCATGTTTCTCTTCGCTAATTATCAGTTTTTCCCATTGGAACAACCTGTACCATTTAACTAAAAAATTTAAGATCTATATTTCCTATAAAAAACTTAATGTAGTTACCAAACATTGTTGTCCCTCATTACAAAAATGTGCAGCTTTAAGATTCCTCACTTTGACTAATATCGTTATTAATATGCATCTGACTCTGCTGCTACCCATACAAACGAGTAACTTTTCCTTTTTTTTTCCTTTGCAGCTGGGTCCGCAAAATAGTTAAGCTAGACACTGTGGACTCCTGGTAACTTGCCCCAGTTCTAATGACTAGGCTGCAGTAATAACCCTGCTGATGTGGAAAGGTAAGCTGGCTTTTATTTAAAGGGTGTTTATACTGTTATATTCCCTAATCACACTTTTAAAACTTAGAAGGGTCCTTGAGAGTAGCTCAGCAATCATTGGAGAGTTTAAACACATTCAGGTCTTATTTGACTTTTCCAGCCATTTCCAGCTCCTGGATGGACCAGGAGCTGGGAAATTACTCTGATGCCAGATGGCCACCAGAGACCCTGCTGGAACTGTAAAATGGAACAGAAACTTCTCCATCAGCAACAACATGCAGAACCAGAATGAGAATCAGCTCCCCATCCTCCGATTAGGACAGCAAGAGAACTGACTGGCTGGACGTGACAACAGCATCCAAGTAAGAAAGGGACTTCGACAAGTACCCAAACAGCCACTTTTACACCCACAAAATGAGTGGAAGACACTTTAGCTTGAAGCTAGTGTGGAACAGGGCTGGCAATTCTGCCAAGAGCTGGCTTTTTACCGTAAGGCACTCCTCTAACTTGCCCCTTTTTCTATGTTCTCTCCTATTCCTCTGAGCAGTATGAGAGGAAGTGGTGAAAGGACCATGCTACTAGTATGCGCTGGCAGGAGAACGTGCATTAAAGTAGATGTCTCATTATCTGCCAAAAACTATTTTTTTAAGCTATACATGGTGCTGGGGAAACTGTAAAAATACAAAACAATTTATTTTAAAAATAAACTGATACCTCAAGGACCCAACTAAATTTTAAACTTGTTAGGAACAAAAATTGGTATAACCACACTTTATTATTGCCCAGTTCTCCAAAGAATAGTAAAAAGAAAGCCTTAGAGAGCTGTGCCATATTGAGTAAAAGCTGACTTACCTCTTCCCCAAAGGCTGAGTACTCACGCCTGCCCTGCTCTCTGATGGGACTGATATCACCTACCAAGTGCATGGTGGGGCTCATCTTTGTAGAGCAGGAAATCAACAAATGAGGACCAGGCTATAAAGCAGAATTGCAAAAGGAAAGAGAAAAAAAAGTATATAAAACTTAATTAAAAGTCTTGCTGATCACATTTCCTGGGAAGTTGGCAGCTCATACCTGAACCGAGCTTTTAAAGAAAGAGCAAGACATGTAAGAAAAACACAGTTCTCACTTGCAGTGAAAAGAGTAGAGGTCTTTTGCCAATTTCATGGAGGCCTATGTAAGCCAATGAACTATTCAGTTTTTGAGGCCAGAAGGAACTGTGTTTTGGACATCTAATTTAACCTACTGCAAAACAGGCCAAAGAGCTGCACCAAGTGGCTGCCACACGAAGCCCGCAATATCCGTATAAGCTATAGCAGAAATTTTGGAAGCAATCCAGCCTTGATTAAAAGTCTTCAAGCAACTGAGAATCCACTGAAGCCCTAGGTAAATGATTCCCACAGTTAATTTAATTTACTGTGCAAAATCTCTGCTTTATTTTTAAAATGAATTTGTCCAACTTCAGCTTCCAGACACTGGAAATGCCTCTTTTGGTGCTCTGCTATCAGATATCTTCTCCCAATATATGTATTTCTAGACTGTTATCAAGTAATATCATAACTTTTCCATGTTAAACTAAACACATTAACTCCTTTAGTCTCGCTCAGATTTATTCAGATGGCAAAGAAAAAGGATAATCTTGAGTGCTACACTTACCTTATAAACACCAAAGTCAAAGTGGTAAGTAACCAATCTTATCAATATTAGACAATTCTGTTCCTCATTGTCTATATCTTGTCCTGCACTTCTACAGTTTTCCCTGTATCCTCAGGGCACGTAGCATCCTCATAATTTGTACCAAAAGTTCCAACTTTCACCTTCTGTAGAATATTCAGATTTACTTTTCAAAGTTTACACACGCATTAGAGGTCTTGGGGGGAGAGTTTAAGAGGCAAATCTGTAAACCACAATATTTAAAAGAAGCAACAGAACACTAAATGCATAAGCTGAAGCTGTCTGAGATGTATGGAAGGAGAAAGGTAAGCTATAAGGATTGTTGGAGGATGGCAATTTGAGAGCGAAAGGAGAGGGGTAGTAGCAGGAGTATACAGATTTTTCTCAGAACATGGAACTGGACCCAAAGCACACTGTCCTGATCCGATCCTGGATTTCCCCCCACACTGGAATCATCATGTGTGGTGTTTTAGCTGAAAAAAAAAATGACATCAGATCAAGAGAACACAGATGAAGCAGAAGTTAAGCTTAGAGAACTTGAAGACTATAATAAGGTGCGTGATAGAGATTGATCCTTTGCTGTGGCCTAAAGCAGAAAGCAGTGCTTCTTCTTGCAATGTAACTTTAGAGTCAAAGTTGAGGAGCTTCTCTGTGCCAGGCTAAACATATCTCAGATGCAATTAGCTGCAATTAGCTGGATACAAAGAACATCCCAATCAACGGGAAACAGAGCTGACTCTTCTGCTTGCCAAGCAAACACCTGCCTTGATTACAAACTCTTCCCCAGGACTACAGACTTTACATAGTGATGTTTGTAACAGACATCGTAACTTATATTAACTCCAGAATCTAAGACTGCTTTCTCAGATGCCTCAACAATTCTGTCTACACAGTCAAAGGACCCAAGATGGGTAAACTTCTATAATGGAAAAAAATGGCCTGGTGGAACCAATCTACTACACTTAAAATCATTCTACTACACAGAATGATTATTTTTCATGACAAACTAAATGGCTGGATACCTAACTTTGAAAAGACAGGTGAGCAACAGGGGCAGAAGAGGGAAAAATAACAAGGTGAAAATACCAAAAGACATCATACATTCTCCAAGCCCACAGCACATGCAATGATCCCAAATCAGACTTGGAAAGCAGCTGTTTTGCTTCCCGTTTTCACTGCCTCTGAATCCTGCTGGAAAGAGGGGCTAGGGCTAATTGCCTACTCTTAGAATTTTCAAGAAGATGGACACTAATCCCAAGGGTAGGCAAGAGGAACACAAGATAGAGACTCTCTTCTCCCTCCATTTTCCACCGTTCAGGAAAATTTCAGTCATTAGTATGCAGTGGAAAAAACAAATGCTGAAAAAAATCTTTCAGTGCTCCAGAACATTATATGGAATACACAGTGGCCAGGATATTTTAACTTTTGGCAGACTATAATCAAAATAACTGTTACAGTGGTATACTTTTTTCCTGAGATGAGTAATTCATATTAGCTCACACTGCATACAGAGATCTTGTTTGTCATGCAAAAAAGGTTTTATATTAATGAGGCATAAGAACACCATGTGAAATAAAGTTATATAAATTAAAGAAAATAATCTTGGCATAAAGCAGGCAACTCATTCTCTAAAGTCCTAAGTAATAATGTAACCACCTTTGGAAGAAGTGCTTTAAAAGGTGCAGTTGTTACCTATATAAAATTTAATATGAATGCTGTTAAGACTACATCGCATGGCTAGTTTGTTTCCAGCACTCACTGCTGTGGTATGGTAGAGGACAGACATTCACAGATCTACAATAAAAAGCACTGACAACATCAAGTGACTGAGCAGTCTATGCAGCCATCCAAGACTGCTTCATTCCTCAGCTGCATAAAGACAGGAAGAAACAACAAAGCTATCTCGGAGTAAATTTATTTGGAACTAGTTTGGTAATGACTCAATCAGATAGTACAGTCTCTCACTAAGTTGAGGATTTTAAAACACTTGACAAAAAAATAAGCTCTTCAACATCTGAGGTAGGTAACACCCATTTTAAAGACAGAAACAGAACCATAACATGACTTCCTTAACATCTGAGGCAGTGTAATGCCCCCAACCCTTTCTAAACATAAACCTTCAAAAGACATTTACACTGCTATGCAGAAAAAACCAACAGGGTCATTAAATCAAATGAACCAGTTACAGATGGAACAAAACTTAAAACAATCCCAAAGAATCACAGAACTGAAAACTAGGCTTACCTTTTTCTCCATCTGAAATAAGATCTCGTTCTCCCTTCTGAACAACTGTCAAATTCCCCATGGCTTGGCTGAGCCTTAACACACATCCATGATGATCATTACTATCTACAGGGTCTCTAAGCTATAACACAAGAATTCCATACAGAATTACATACTTTACCATGAGGACAAAATAGTATCTAAACAGATTAAGTGCATCTTTCTATACATATTTTTTACATTCTTTCCCTCCATCCATTTTTTGCTGCTAAAAATAATTATATGAAAGGGGTTTTTTTTAGCATTTAAGATCTGCCAGCAATGATCTTGTGTTGTCATGACAACTAACACATGGGGATAAGTAAACCTGCATGATACTCTTTCCAGTAATGAGGAACAGTATACTAAATGGTTGAAATGGTATCCAAGTATTTAAAAAAAAAAAGGGGGGTAAAATTTGTGCATGCAAAATTCCCACTAAAAAAAATACAATAAGCTCACCATAGCTTCGTACAGTCTGCTGAACTCCATATAATTTGGAGTAAGAATAGCTCTCTGGTAGCCTTGAATAAGAGAAGGCTGTTGGGATATGAGCCACAATCCATCCTGCACAGGACAGTAGGAAAATAATTTAGTTAACAGATTTTTAAGCGTCAGACAACCACAAAAAGAAAATAAAAGAAAAAACATACTTACGGCATCAATGACAATAGGGATTCCTTTGACCTTGGATTTTTCTATAATACCCTGCAAGAAATATAGGTTGATTGTAAGATGCTTGCTGTACTTAACTCTCACTACAACTAAAGGAAATTCAGTGTTTTTTCTTTTGTCTAAAATGTGCGGTCCAATCAGTCTGATCACACAGGTCACCATTTCAAAGTAAGGATTAAAGTGGTGATTAGAATCTGTAAAGTGATAGCAGACACTTCCATACCAAAGTTGTTCATTTTACGAAGTCATATTTTCTAACTCAGCATGAGGTTTTAGAGTCAAGCTGTGCACTTTGTTTCCTACGTAACCAACAGCATTAGAGATTTTGCAAATTAAACTTTGGTAACAACTGTGTTGTTATGCAAATGAGAAAATAATCCAACTTGTTTTTCATTAGGTAATGGACTTTATGAGGCTAACATAAATTAAAAAAGCATATTCCTAGTCAAAAAAAAAGAAAAAGATGGTGACCAAAATCACTCAGCAAGTAGACCTGTTGAGCAAGAAAGTGCTAATTTAAGTTATTTTTCTGATCTCACACATATTTAAGTATATGAATGCACTGTCAGCATATCTTATATGAGATATGAGCTGTGTAGATATATATTCATGTAAATGTAGGTTTCATGTTACCAGCATGGGTTTAAAATAACCTAAAGTTTTATACCAGGGGTTTGCATCCATGGTGCCATGGCACCCTAAGGTGTTATAAGATCCTTTGCAGTGTGCAATGGAGGGCCAACAATATTAGCACTGTTAGGTGTGCAAACACCTACACATGATTCGCAAGATAGTTTAGCGATTTCACACAGGAATCCAGTGTCAAAAACATTCTGATCTGTTGCAGCCTTTCCAAATTCTTTGCTTCCGAAGAATTGCTCTATTTATTTTTCCATAGTCAAAAAAAATGAGTGAAACCTAGGAGCTGGCATTTTCAATGGGGTGTCTCAAATCTAACAAAGAGTGTCTTGAGTGTAAGAAGTTTGAGAACCACTACTCTACAGGGTAGAGCTTTAATGCAAAGTTGTATTTTACACGAATGGTTTGTTCCCATTCCCTTTCAACAGAAAGGAAATATCAGAATGTTGGTTGCTCTCTTTTGGATTCTGCCCTGAATCTTGAGAATCTACCTAGTTTCCCCCCTGTAACAGTGAATTTTATTTATCTAAACATGTTTAGTTTTTTAACCCTACAACCCTCTTTAGGTATCACGCAACTGTGAGCGCCAGAGGTTAACTAGATATCGTGTGAGTAATATTTCTTTTTATCAGTTTAACACTGAGGGTAGCCTGCTTTTTTGCCTGTATTGAGTTAATTTAGAACCCAAAAATATTTACAAGGAGTCCTTCCAACGCACATAGTTATGTTTGTTAACAGTTACCAGAAATTTATACACTTTCCTATAACAATCCGCTTGCGTTTTTTTGCATGTGTGTGTACTGGGGAAGTATGAGGCAGAGAGCATATATTATATTCTTAAATCTTTCACACATTAGTGACATAAGACATTTGGTGCCACCTGCATAGTTTCCTGGAGGTGCACTGATACATCGGTCCCATATCGGATCGGCACCAATATAGGCAAAATTGACAGTATCGGCAATCAGCTGTTTTTGCCTGATGTGGCTGATAAATGCCCTGCATGTGCACAGCCGCAGCATGCAGGTGGCCAGGAGCACAGCCCAGCGGCTTGGAGAGCAGTATCTGACTGGTAAGTCTGTTGCAGTGGGAGGGAAGGGGCATGTGGGGGGGGCAGATTGAGGCCCCTGTGCTGAGGGAGGGAGTGGGGCTGGGGCAGATGCTGCACAGCCGGAGTGAGGTGCAGGATGGAGCCATGAGTGGCTCATCTGTGGGGTGTGGGGAAGGGTGTGCCCCTGTATCTGTGTGCAGGGATAGGGCAGGCTGCCACTGCAGGCTGGGGCCGGGCTCTTCCCGGCAGAGGGCAGGGCCAGGCTACACTTGTGCGGGCAGTGGTGGTGCTGGAAGAGAGGGCTGGGAGTGCCACAATGAATTTTGGAGTGGCTGCAGCTCCCCACTGTAGCCCCTCTTCCAGCACCACCACTGCCTGCCCCAAGTGCAGCCCAGCCTAGTCCCCAGCAGGAAGAGCCTGGCACCTCCCCAGCCCCAGGCCCAGCCCCAAGCAGCTGCCACCCTCACCCTGTGTACAGAACCAGGAGCACATGCCCCCTCATACCCTTCTGGGGTGCGCACGGCAGTGAGAACTGCCCCCCATCCCCTCCCTGTGCCTCCTGGACAAGCTGCTTGCGGCTCCATCCCGCACCCTGCCCCAGCTGTGCAGAGAGTAACCCAGGCCCAGCCTCAGCCCCAATCCCTCCCTCACCACAGAAACCTCAATCTGACCCCCCACCCCTTTCCTACAGACTTACCAGCCTGATACTAGTTGCAAAGCTGCCCGGCTGCATATTGGAATCAGACTGGTATCAGCCAATATGGCTCCTTAAAAATCAGACATCGGTATTGGCCCAAAAAATCTCTATCAGTGCACCCCTATAGTTTACCAGCACATTCTTTCTACCAGGTACTCTAGAATGCAGCTTTGGGATATGCCCACAATTAATCTTTTGGAATACTGAAAACTCTGTTTTTGCTTTCTGTTTTCTTTTACAGTTTTTATGAAAAAGTCCCAACCCCCACCCACCCAACAGCATGTTCTGGTTTTTTATTATTCTGCTTGCACACAGAAAATTCTAGAGGAGTTTTATTTTTATTTTCCTTTATAGAAACTCTGCTTTAAAAAATCTGTATCATACCATTTTAATTGTATTTCACTATTTCAATCAGTTTAGTTGGTAATAAAATAAGATTCTTTAATCCAATTTCTAGGATCAGCCCTGGCATTTTTTTTTAAAGATTGGTACACCCTCTTCTACTATCTGCCCCTGCAGTTTTAATTAGATGGCATTTTTTGCTAGCATCTCAGCCTCCTCATTCTTAAATTTCTTCAGTACTTCTGAATGATTAACTTCCAAGCCTGATTTGTTGCCCCTAAGCCTAATTATCAATTTGTTCCAACACCTCATCTTTCAACATCAGCCTTTGACAAGGCCTCACTTTTATGGAAAAGAGTAGATTTAGGGTAGATATCTTCTCAACATACTCTGTTAAAGCAAAAACATCAGGAAGCTTCTCTCTAAACCTCTTATCCTTCTTAACTATTAACTTAGTTCCATTATAATCACTCTCTATTAAGACTTACTAGTTCTCTCAAAGTATTTCTTGTATCTGGGAAAAAATGCTGTTTCATAGATATTAGGCCTGGAAGGGACCTCGGAAGATCATTAAGTCCAGCCCCCTGCCCCTGGGGCAGGAAGTCAGCTGGGGTCATAGGATCCCAGCAAGATAAGCACACATTATTGTGGACTTTTTGCAGCCCAGGTGCTTCAGGTGTTACTAACTCCAGAAAGACGTGCATAGCAGAGGGGTAGCACTGGAGGAAAGAAGTGAGGACCCCTTGGAAGTGGGGAGTTGCACAGTTTCTGTCTGTTCCCATGACTGTTATCACTGTTTGTTCAGCATCCAGTCCACTGGGCACTGCTGACAGGCAGTGATGCTAGGTCTTGCCCTTTGCGGGGGATGTAGACAAAGTGCAGACAGCAGCGTTAAAACAAGGAGAGAAAGTGATTGTTGCCTTGTTCGTCTTCATATTCCCTCTCAGTCTTTAGATTTTTTATTATATATTTTACTGGTCAACATTTGTGTCTTTGTATAATGGTACCTCTTTGACTGGTTTTACCAGAGGACACCTGGAATACCTTTGAGTATGCTGTTACTAGGCCATAATTTTGTGGGGTTTTTTTGGTTCTTTTCTATATTGTTACTAAGGAATAATTCAAAAGTAATTCCCCCTCCCCTTTGGTCTGTTCTAGAATTGTTACATTAATTTACCAGCTTTTGTAAAGCACACAAGTGCTTGAAGAGGAAACCTAAATCATGGTAGGAATACACCATTAGCAAGTATTTGGGTACAAGTTAACAGTATCTGATGGTACACCTGTAGGCACAGAGGCTAGTGAACCTCCAAATTACTAGTTTCTAATCTATGTTACTAAAGGGAACTTTTTTTTCTGGTCTTTACTATACACAAAAGAGAACATGTCATGAAACATATCAGTTTTTCTGAGTTCTAATTTTTTTTACCCTAGCTATCATTTTCCTTAACTCTAGACAAAAACTCTACTCGGGTGATCCAGGAGTACATAAGAAATAACAGTTCTATCCTCCAGCCAGAGTACTTTGCCTTTGGACACCAGGAAAAGTTAAAGTAAATCCTGCCATTAAATCAGTATTATCCAGATTTTGATGTGGCTCTCACTACTTGATGCTTTGAAGACATGAAGTCATAAATAGGAATCTTTCTGCCTAAATTGGGTAACTGAAAAGAAAATAATATTGAAAACTCAGGCTAAAGAGTAATTTTACTTCCAGGAACATATATAAGAAATGGTGTTATGATCGTCAGTAACTATTACTTACAGGGAAAGTACCCTTAAGAGAACATTGCAGATTTCTTAAAAAGAAATAAATTAATAAACTTTACAAATGTAGGAAATTCAAAGTTAGTTATATTTACCAACTCTGCCACTCAAACAAAACTAACTGCCACTCAAACTTAAACTAGCATGAGCGAAGAGAATTAAGGTCATCTTCCTAATACCAGCAACAAAACCACTGAGATGTGGTGCCACTTTCAAACAATACCAATTATATCAGTAACCTTTGACTGTGAAGAGAGATCTAAATTGGCCACATTCCTCCATACTTAATACACTGTACCACAGGAATTAAAGGCAAATTCCTCTCTTCAGGAGAGAAACAGCATACTCACTATTTACAGACTTCGAAACTTGGGAACCCAATTGAGCTATTTTAAATGCCAACATTACTAATTCTTTCACTGTTGACAGGACACACCAAAACTATTTAGTTGTCTGACATGCATTACTTTTCATGGCCTGATCTCTGATTTACTTGAATAAACATCAGAAGACAATGAAACAGCAAAATTAAAAAAG